GGTACAGGTAGTGATATGCACGATACCGGAGGTACCGGTGCGTGACGGCAACCTGAAGAGAGTGGTTGTCGACGCTAACCAAGAAATATGGCGGGTGAGTCGAGGGAAAGGCTTTGAGGTGGTGGAAATAAACAGAGATGTGCATAGGTGGGGTGGTTTTCAACGAGACAGAATTCAGTTGCATGGCGGGCTTGTTGGTTATTCATGTTGTTCCAGGTATAGCGCATCCAGGACGGGAAAGAGAAGAAGACACATTGTTGAAAGTTAGCGCCGTGTATGTGTTCTGTGTCTTCTTCTCTGTCCCGTCCTGGATGCGCTATACCTGGAACAACAGAATTCACTTTGATTCGCGGCTAGGTCATGAGGGTGGTTGGCGACTTACAGGACGTGCAGTAGCTTTTTTGGGGGCACGCGGGCCCATCTATTAACGAGGAAAACAACCAGGGAGACTCTTTGACAGGTGGTATGGACAGATACGATACCCAATGTGGCACCAGTATCTGAGATAGGTAGAGTCCGGGGCAGAAATGGACGTAGCCACGAGCGCCGCGCCAATTCAGAGATAGGGTATATTAACATGTAAGGTGGCAGGAACAGGCTGAAGTGGTAACAGATAGAAGAACAGCTAAGGGAGGGGAAGACGATGGTATACGATATTGTAGAAACACATCCTAGGGACATGGAACAACCTCCAAACAATCCGGACTACGCGTGGGAATATTGCCATAGAACAGAAGGCAGCAGAAAGTGTGGTGGTATTGGGGCATTCATTTATAAAAGTATAGACTAGCAAAGGGTCAAGCAGGAATGCAAGGAACATTTATGTCTAAAAGGGAAAAGGGCAGGGCAAATGACACTCCTTGGTTTGGTGTACTTGTAGATGGTAGCAATGATCAGAGAGGAAAACCAGGCAATGGTACAGTGTATATCAAAAGACATTGAGGAGTTAGGAGGAGAGTGCGAGGTAATTATACTAGGAGAAATGAATGCGCACAAAGAAGATATAGGTGGTATACCGACTCAACAGGCAAAATGATCACAGATATGTGTGAAAGGCATAATTTGATCATTTGCAACAGTACCGAGAAGTGTGAAGGGTAAATAACATGGGAGGTAGGAAGGCTGCAGTTGACGATAGATTACGCACTGATGTCACATAGCATGTAAGATAAGCTCAGGGGAATGCACATAGATGAAGGTGGCACCAGGAGTCTGGGTAGTGATCACAAACGTTCAAGCTAAGTTTTGGAAGAGCAGTAAAAGTGGGAAGGAGACAAGATGAGCAACTATAGGAAAAGTTTTTTTTTTCAGAAAGGCAAACAGAAATAGCCACAAAACAAATTGAGCAAGCAATCACTGAGGATAATAAAACAGTGTGGACATACACGAATCTAGACTGGTTGAGCTAGAGCTTGCTAAGGCACGTGACAAGTCACCCAGGAAAAGAAGACAAAAACCCAAAAGTTTTTGGGATGAGGAAGTCAAGAGAGCTATAGCAAAACGTCAGGAAGCCTCTAGGGAACACAGACATGCTAATTAAGCAGTGGGGTGAACCGACAGACGATGTTGAAAGAAAATGGGCAACCTTTCTAAGCTGTAGAAGGGATGCATCACTTCTGATCAATGAAAAGATTAAAAGGAAGGGAGCTCAGTGGCTGGCAGAAGTACATAAAAAAGATAGAAAGGCAGCTGCGAAATTTTGGAACCATCTAAACTCTTTAAGAAATGAGACGAGCCTAGAGCAGAGGTTCATAACTACAGCTCAAGGTGCTAGGCTAGAAGGGGACGAAGCTATTGAGTGTATAAGAACAAAGGTGACAGAAAAATTTCAACGAAGAAGTGATTTATGGACCACAACAGACAAGGATGAATGAAGTGGCGCCATGGCTCCATTTTCACAAGGAGAGTGGGAAAGGGCCGAGAAGAGGGTTCCTAGTAGTGCAACAGGCCCAGATAGCATTCCAAATATGTTGATAAAGACTTTAGGTCCAAAGTCTAAGCGGACTTTTAGAGAGGCAGTGCGCAAAATAATAATCGATGGTGAAGTCCCCGATGGATGGAAACTTAGCAGGATGAGCACGATCTATAAAGGAAATGGGGATAAAGCTGATATAAGCAACTACCCTCCTATAACAGTGACATCAGTGGTCTACAGGCTGGCGATGCAGAGTATAAAGGAAAGACTGCAGGCATACATAGAGGAGGAGGAGGTGTTGAGGGAACTACATAATGGGTTTCGGAAACACGGGAGGTTGGAATACAATCTGTTCTCACTGACGCAGTGCATCGAAATAGCAGAAAGGGAACATAGGCCCCCATGGCTAGTATTTTTGGATATCAAGGGAGCGTACGATAGCGTGGTTTAAGAGGACTTGTGGGTAATACTGGACACATGAGGGGTGGAATCTGGAGTCACTAATCTTTTAAAGGATATCTATAAAGGTAACAAGGCAGTTGTAAAGTGGGAAAAAGGTATCCAAGCCTGCACAGGTAAAATAAGGGCTTAGGCAGGGGTGTCCCCTCTCACCCTTATTATTCATGAAGTACCTACAAGGATTAGAGGCCAAATTAGAGGGAAGTAAACTGGGCTTCAACCTCTCTTTCGTCAAACAAGGAAAACTCATTGAACAGGCACTACCAGCATTGATGTACGCAGATGATATAGTGCTAATGGCCGACAAAAAGGAATATTTGCAGAGATTGGTGGGCATATGCGGTAATGAGGGGGATATGTCAGATTTCAGATTCAATAGGGAAAAATCAGCAGTCATTATTTTTATTGATAATGAAGGTAGTGGGCTTAGAATACAGGAGGTGACGCTAGAGATAACAGATAAATACAAATATCTGGGCGTATGGACAAGCAATGGGACCGAGTACCTAAGGGAACACGAAATATACGTGTCGACTAAAGGTAACAGGAATGCAGCGGGATCTAAAAACAGGGAACTGTGGAATTAAAATAGGTATGATGTTGCGAGAGGAATATGAAAAGGGGTCATGGTTCCTGGTCTGACGTTCGGCAATGCGGTCTTGTGCATGAGATCAGAAGTTCAAGCAAGATTAGTGATTGAGCAACGTGGATTAGGTAGGCTTGTCTTAGGAGCTCACGGGAATACACTGAATCAGGGAGTACAATGTGATATGGGATGGACATTATTTGAGGGCAGGGAAGCTATAGCAGCAAGATAAAATTAGAGAAGCGATTGAGAGAAATGGGGGAGGAGCGTTGGGCTAGGAAGGTATTCAGCTACTTGTACATGAAGAATGTCGATACAAAATGGAGGAAGTGAACCAGAAAATTGACTGGTAAATATTTTGAAAACAGCAAGGGGCCAAACCAAAAAAAAATTATCGGTTAAGACGAAGGTGATGGAAGCTGAGACCGATATGTGGAGAATTGGCATGATTAAGAAGTCCGCACTTGAGATCTATCATACCTTTGAGCAGGAAATTGTCACGGAATAGATCGATGATAATATTTGGGGCAGTTCTCTACTGTTTGAGGCGAGGACGGGAGTATTGTGAACCAAGACATATCAGGCCAAATACGAAGGGGTAGACAGGGTATGCAGTGTGTGTGGAGAGGGGGGGGGACTGCCGAACACTTGATAACATTCTGCAAAAGGCTTCACACTATATTTCAAGATGATGGCGCTGAGTTTTTCAAAGCACTGGTGTTTAGGAAAAGGGAGGGCTAAATAGACTTTAAGCAGGTAGAATTAACTAGAAGGAGGCTATCTGATTGGTGGCTAAAGTCAACGCACGAGTGCAAATTGAGCCCTTCACTGTAAAGTACCAGTCTTCAACCTCCCTATTTAAAGGAAGAAAAAGATAAATCTAGTTTTTAGTACACTAAGTATTACGGCTTGGTTGCGCTAGCCACCGCCCGATCTAAAGGTACAGCCATATCAATACATTCATTCAGCATGAGAAATATGATGAAAAAAAATTTGCGGTGACTTAACTCGGCTATTCCATGAATATAATTAGCGTCCGGATGGATTGGTGAACGGACGGGCAGACAGACAGACAAAAGATAGATAGATAGATAGATAGATAGATAGATAGATAGATAGATAGATAGATAGATAGATAGATAGATAGATAGATAGATAGACAGATAGATAGATAGATAGATAGATAGATAGATAGATAGATAGATAGATAGATAGATAGATAGATAGATAGACAGATAGATAGACAGATAGATAGACAGATAGATAGATAGATAGATAGATAGATAGATAGATAGATAGATAGATAGATAGATAGATAGATAGATAGATAGATAGATAGATAGATAGATAGATAGATAGATAGATAGATAGATAGATAGATAGATAGATAGATAGATAGATAGATAGATAGATAGATAGATAGATAGATAGATAGATAGATAGATAGATAGATAGATAGATAGATAGATAGATAGATAGATAGATAGATAGATAGATAGATAGATAGACACGCCTAATTTCACCCAAGTTCGCTGAAAAATGATTCGCATTTCATATTTAGCATGAATAAGGACCCACAAGAACCACGCTACCAAACACTGTGAGAGGCAAAAGAGCGCGACATCTCGGAAGATTGACCAATGTCCTGTCTACATCCTTTGATACCGCTTGATAACGCTGTAAGCTCGAAACACAGTGTCTTATAATGGGCAGACAACGAAGATCAACAATGTAGTGTACACAAGGCTATCGATAACGTTTACTGCATGCAGCAGTTGAAGTTCTTGCCTTCTATTGCGTTTCGCAGCTTTTTTACTTAAACATAGTGTTTAGTTAATACTAAACACAGGCTACAAAATGCGATGGCAACTTAGGTGATCAACCCATAGTAATACCATATGCGGAGTCTGCGTAGTTAACCGAATTATACGTGAAATCTTATCCCAAGTGGATTTATACCTGCTACAGAAATGATCGTTGCACTTCGGTCAGCCTCTGAGCTCCCGGCAAGAGGTGTTCTGGCAAAGAAGTCATACTCACAGCAGATCTGTGGCGTTGACGTACGACCAACTGGGAAAGTACTGAGTGTGACCTCTCCGGGCGTCGTCCAACCCTGCCATCTGATTGAGGATCAGGTCAACCTGCATTTAATAGCCACAAAATTATATAACCATTACCTAAACCAGTTAAGCCCTCTGCATCCAATCATCACCGTTATTGACATTCCCAATTCTACCATCAGAGACAAGTGCTACCCGTTATGGTTTGAATTGAGGCAGCTAGACTTCGAAAGCGTCTTGCGTTTGTACCCATTTCGGCTAGCATTCGCGCAGTTGCCTCTGCGTTATAGGTTTCACTGCAGTGTGGCGTGCCAAGGATCACGTGTTGCCCAGCCTGCCTTACGCCCTCAATTCCTTTGAAGATGTTGGATTCAATGGTAGGTGCAGGGTACATGTTACAAAGCCTTCGGTAAAACGATCTTGCATTGAGCGTGATAACTGGGCAATGATCGGACATTTCGCTTGCGGTACTATTGACAACAGCTGCGGTGAGTGAAGTATGGGACAAATAGCTGTACGGAGTGCACAGTCAGTCCCATGATGCAATGGCAATGGTCTAGCGGGTTTAGGGCGTATGGGCCAGAAAGCTAGATTGTGGAGAGAGTATGTGACGTCATAGTAGCACCCCTAACGACATCGTCGAAGAATAGAATACGACCTTGTTGACTCCATAGGCGAATAGCTTTTGAACCCAAGGCACAGGCTTTATTTCAGCATTCGATTGCTCCGTTCGTTTCAACTGCATGTAAGGTCACGTATTTCGCGTCGGAACTCATGCAGCTCAAGGGCGACAATCTGCATGTTAAGGCAAAAAAAAAAACAGGATGCAGTTCTCAGGCAAGCCTGAACCTTCCAACTTCATCTGCCGTTCAAAAAATTAAGCATTTGACAAGATAAGTGTCAGCGGCGAGTAAGTATTAAACTTTATGTGTCAATGGATCCATCTTATAAATATTCTTCTCAACCACATTTCATTGACGCCTTCACGAACATCTGAACTCGAATGCAAAGCACAAACTTTGATGTAGTGCCGTTCAAATTGGACACTACCTGTACCTTCTGTTTCTCGAAAGCATGCGAGGCGTAACGGATTTCAACGTCAGATGCATCGCTTGCAAACTGGCACACCTACCATTTATTTCCACAAGAGACTCAAGAAACCTATCAACTTTGACAAAAATATTTACTCTACCTGATGCCAGTATGGGCTCGTAGACCGGTACTGCTCGACCTGCTCGTTCATGTGACGCACGTTCTCGTTGAAAAAGTCGTAAAGCTTCTTGCAGTATGCTGTCTCGTTGACGCAATAGTCCGCCCACTGGTTATCGAAGTGCATGCGAATGAGGTCCTTGGTAAGGTAGCCTTCCAGAAACCCCGCCCCGTAGGCCTGGTACTCGTCCGGTAACCTCTCGTTCGTGTAGATTTCGAGGTAGCCGAACCTAAGGGGACACCCAACAATTGAGGAAAAAGGTAAATGTCCCGAACAAGTGGGGCAATGTAAAAGTAAGAAGACTGTTTCTAACTGCGTATAATCATACTTTTCAAAGAAAACGAACGGTTTAGGATAAGTTACACTTAAGCTTCCCTGTTAGGTTATAATTCCACATGCCCTAATCGCTTGGTCATATGACCTTCTAACTATAAGTGGTCCCATAGTGATGTAGCTACGTCAGATGACGTGATCTCTCGGTCGAATGTGTCGGAAGTCAATTTTGTGGGTGGAACAAGACCATTTTGACACCGAGTTTCTGTGGTCTTTCACCTGCAAAATCTCAATTTTCAGACTAGAGACAAGGAGAAAGAAGGAACTAGAGCCACGGAGTTCAATCAGACGCGCTTCCGGTTCGTTATCCTTCACTATATAGGTAAAGGACAAATGGTGTAAAAAAGGGAAAAAAAGAAACAGCAGTGCATTCCGAGCGTGAGCCACCTGAATTTCTGGAGTAGGCATAATCTATTTCAGGAGTGGACGAAGTCAGTTTTGTACGGGCGTAGACTTCATTTTGAACGGAGGGGGGCTGGGGCAGAGAGGTTGTCTTGTGGGCCAAGTGGGTAAACGCAATTCATCAGTGGCGCAACAAAATTCGTGCATAGCCATCGCTTAGTCAGGTGAGTTTTCTCGCCATCAGGTGCCAACGCCGACGGATGCCGTATGCTTGGTGTTTTTTTCTATTTCAAAGAACACGCAATGATTCATAGCAAAGCTTTCAGCGAACTAGGAAATTGTGTCCAAACTGGTGTGTTGCTGTTCTAGTCGTTGCCCTTCAACTTACCCTGTTTCGTGGATGGCATTTTGGAACGATCCCCAGGCAACAGCATCGTTGCTGTCTCTAGGAGGGCGTCCATGTTTGATCTCGAAAGAGGCCGGCACGTAGGTGAGGCTGACCCAGGCGTCCTTGCCCGAGCTCACCTGGCACAAGGCCTCCGCCACAGCGAGCACCAACATAATCTTGACACCCCTCATAGTTTCGGTTTCAACGCCTGCAGAGGAAGTGAGCCAAATAGATTGTTTTTAAGGACTAGAGTCTTCTACGAGACAAAACTTCAATGGTCATTGCAAGGTACTAGACATTTTTTTTTCTGAATAACAAGACTTTTATGACTACATGCAGCGTAAGATGCAGTAAACGTTCACGTAACAAAAAGTACAACCACATATTACATTGTCACTTTGTTAGGCAAAAGACTGGTGCACATTTGGTAAGGCTTAGTTTTATATAACCGGCGACCAAACTTCCTCCAAAACTTAAGAAGCCGCCGTGTGCGAGAAGTGCATTAAATAAGGTTAACGTACTCAGTCAATCACGTGGTTCCACGCCCCTCGCGCGTTCTCATTCCGTGTGGTGTGTCACTACCTTCGGTCCAGGATCGGTTGTCGTTTCGTCAATGGACTATTTCATTTGATGATCTTATTATGAGATGTAAGTCAATAGCGTCGTCTATTCTGGTCATTTGTGACGCCACTGCAGCATCGCACAGTCATGTCGAAATCAGTCGTTCTCAACCCTATAGCCACTCCCTCACTTGGAGAACGTCACGAGTGTTTTCGTAACACTTATCTTGCCAGCCCTGTTTCGCTCATTATCTCCTCGAGACGATACACTTGAGATTTTCACTTTATTGCAATTTATGTCAATGTTCCAAAAGTGCACTCGGCGAAAAATACAATCACCTACCGCGCGTCGATAAGCACGACCACTGGGCAGTGGGCGTACTTGACTATGAAGGGTAGCATACCGGTCCTTCCAGACAGGTTAGCAATAGCTTCCTTCTTCATCTATTCATTTCCTTCCTTCCTTAACCCGAAGTAAGTTTTACTTTCAAGCACTTGTTCTGCCCTGTTTAGCACTTACGGCGTCTAAAATTGAAAACTCCAAACATCAAGGCATATTTAAACCTTATTTAATGGATAATTGAAAGTTTGCCAATGTAGATAATCGAGGATGGCAGTTTCGTCATGCTTAGAGCTTGCATTGCATGACCTGTTGTGGCCTATTTTTTTGTTGCACGTGGGCTTCACGCGTTTCCACTAACCGATTTGTGTATCATCATAAAATTTGGGTTGCTTGGCTGTCACTTTCAAGAGTAGGACGCTTTAGCGTAATCGGGCCTCGTTCACGTCACCTACTCAATCACTATAGTCTGTAGGTTCACCTGTCAGTGTGACACCTGAGCCGTGCTGCATAGAAAGAGACATCTGAATCCATAGAATAGGTTCTTTCCGAATACCTAGAATGACCACAGCAAGTACAATTCTGGATTGCCTACTACGCTAGAATTCTTTTTACTGCCGGATTACTCACGACGCGTTGGTAAGGCATCAAGTGTACCTGCACATTTGCCCACTTTGTTGAGGCTAATGATGATGAAGATGATGACAGTTTAGGCCTGAGTGTTTGGTCATGGGTAGATTTTAAACCAACCATTTGCCACGCAACTCGATTGTTTGAACACCTTGAGAAATCGTGCGTTTCTTCTGCGCAATATTACATGTAATATGACACTCGTTTCACTACTTAATATTCACAAAGTTTTTTTTTTCCTCAAAACAATTTCGAACATCCAGGTGCATGTAAGGTAAAACTCTCGCTTTGAAGCGCAGTAGGCTAGGGCTTAACTTGCACTATACCAAAGACATTCTTTATTCGTTTATCTGCATTCATTTTGCTTTTTCGCTCACTCTAAACGACGCCATTGCCGACGTCGACAGTGGAATTTCTGCTAAACAAGCTGTTCAAAGCTATCGTGATAAGCGTCCTCCAGCATCTGTTAACGAATGTGCAGTTGCTGTTCGGCTGACTCTTCAGCTCCCTTAATATGCAGCGCTGGCGTTTACTCGGGTGAAAAATGATATGTGTTGGTTTGTGCTTGTTTGTTTGCTTGCTTGCTGTTTTTTTAGTGGAGAGGGGGAAGAAAGTTCAGAAACTTCAAACAAGACTGGTATTGGATTCGTCTTGTGTGTTTTTATTATTCTATTCAAAAAAATTGAATAGTATTTTCATTTTTTTTCATTTACAAACATCGGCCAAACGTAAGTGAGGTAATGCTCATACTTCGGTTCTCAGCATGACTAGGCATAGAAAAAATAAATTTAAATAAATAAAACGCTACAACAAATACTTCCTGCTGGACTCACAATGTAGCAAATCTTACTTCCCATTACTGAACACACATAACTGAAGCATTGATGCCAGTCACGCACCTTAGTAGAGACAACGATTCAAAACAAATATCTTTATCATATTTATCGCTGGTCTTTTAAAGCTCCCGTTGAAATTATCAGTCAGTGGCGAAGGCATGCACGAATTATCTAACATCAACTTCATCATGAGCCGCTTCAAAATAACATAGTGTTCATAAAAATGTTTACATCGGAACAGCCTCCACGCCCTGTGCGAGACCAAGCTAACGGAAATTCTAACCTAGTGTCCAGGCAACAGTACACGTTTATCAAGCAGACCCAAGAAGCGAAATTCACAATAGTTACTAGCGCGTATCTCGAACTTGATGCGGCCGCCGACGCCGCTATCGAGGCAATGACCTCGAATTCAGCAGTGCAGCACGATAGTCGCTTGGACAAAAGCTTCAGGCCCAGCGGATAAGCTTGCGAAGGCGTAATTGCTACGTATGCTACCACAAGTAGTCGAAGAGGTTTTCTCACTGTTGATGACTTATTTTAATGTTATAACAGTATGCCCACCTTGACGGGTTTTCGTGAAAAGAACGTTACTCTGAATGCTCCAGGAAATGTCATATTTTTTTATTCCACCTTCACTTGAGCTAAGAGAACTATGGGTGAAATTTCACCAGAATAAGCGGTGCTTTATTCGCCCAACAAGAAACAGTAGGGGGGGGGGGCATAAAAGGATGCAGCGACGACATGAGCAACGAGTGGCCGACTTCAAATGAATTTTCTAGCGGGGCAAAGTGCGTAAGAGTGTTTGGGTTGTCCAAGTCAATTGAACAAGTCACCAAAGTGCACCTTCGGACCCTAGAAACATGGCTAGATTTAATGACTGATTTTATGATATGATTTATAGCAATTTGAATTTCGCATCGATTGATTGATTGATATGTGAGGTTTAACGTCCCAAAACCGCCATATGATTATGAGAGACGCCGTAGTGGAGGGCTCCGGAAATTTCGACCACCTGGGGTTCTTTAACGTGCAGCCAAATCTGAGCACACGGGCCTACAACATTTCCGCCTCCATCGAAAATGCAGCCGCCGCAGCCGGGATTTGAACCCGCGATCTGCGGGTCAGCAGCCGAGTACCTTAGCCACTAGACCGCCGCGGCGGGGTGAATTTCGCATCGATGAAAACGTGAGTGTCATATTAGTATGCGCACTGCCGTTGTCATGTTTTCACACATTTGAGTTGATCTTGAGTACCGGTGGCCCTGCAAGCGTGTGAGTGCATCATATGTGAACTTTCGAATGTTGAAAAACACTTCTACACGAAGTATCATGGGATCCAAAATTTTAACAAAAATAGCTGTCTTCTTGAAGGCTGCCACTTCTTCCCTTGCCTTCAAACACTTTCGATGTGGTCACTTAGACCTATCCGGGGCGTTTCCGTCTAAACAAGCGCGTAGTGCACCGGCGATCTCGCTTTCTGTTAGACCTTGGAGTACGAAGTTGTTCTAAATATTTACTCACCCAAAGATGATACGAGGTGCACTGCGTCCCTGAAAGAGCCAGAAAGTCTTGTCCCCACCTTGTGCAGCACGCGACGTATGATATGCCCACCGGTCGCGCTTGTGATGCTGTCTTTCCCCGCAAGCTGCCTGTGAGCGCTACTCAGATAAGCGTCGCTTGAGTAGCACGACTCGGCTGCGAAATCTTACACCCACGCCGTGGTGTGGCTTATATCAGGCCACTCCTGACCGGAGAATTCGGGGCTTGGTCGACGGCTGTCAAGTGGTAGCCTTCCCATCAGATAGACTGCCCATTCAAAACCAATGTAAACAAAGGAGCGTCGCAGATTACAAACCCTAGCTCGGTGAGCTGGCTTATCGAATGTGCCTCCGACTATCGGACCATATCTGCTTGTTCAAGTCTTTTTAGTGTATACCTTTAGCGACAGGTGCTTTCCTAGCTTCGCCATAAAGGGGCACAAAGGCGACATTGTTCACCCAGACATACATTGTATGAACCCGCAAGTGTTGTGCACTTCCGACGGCAAGCACTGAAGACTTCAGGGCACATCTGATAAGCACGGTACTGCCTACTACCTGAGGAGCAAGTTGTCACGTTGCCGGCCCTTCTTCTCTCTTCTTCCGTTGCTCTTTCTGTGCGTGTTTACGTACCATGTATGTATGTATGTATGTATGTATGTATGTATGTATGTATGTATGTATGTATGTATGTATGTATGTATGTATGTATGTATGTATGTATGTATGTATGTATGTAGTATGTATGTATGTATGTATGTATGTATGTATGTATGTATGTATGTATGTATGTATGTATGTATGTATGTATGTATGTATGTATGTATGTATGTATGTATGTATGTATGTATGTATGTAATGCAACGTAGGAAACCAGCAAGCAAGGCAAGCCACAGCGTTGGTGATATACACGCGTGACCCGAGGTAGCGCTTGCGCAAGCTCGAGTCGTGCAAGCTCTAGTCGCACAAGCTCGGGTCACACAAGCTCGGGTCGCACGACCCAAGCTTGCGTTTTTCGGTCCGCTGACGTTCCTCGGCTTTTCAGTTCGTCTGAACGTGAATAAATCACGTGGCATCTGGTGGAGGTGCTTGGTATCACTAAAAGCCACCTCCGACCTTCAGACGTGTGATTCCGCCGATAGAGGAGGTCGTCTCGAATAGTGAAATGTGTGGTTTGATGGCGGATAGCTCTTGAGAGCAGATGAGCTAACATATCTGTCAGAAAGTCGAGTAGTTGGGAAATTCACCCATCTTTGCGTTGCTCCGATGCAATGTCTGCGAAGTCAGTTGGTGTCATCACGGCTCAAGAAGGCGACGAGTAAGTAGGGTCAGCTGGTGGCGGTGAGCGAGATAGCGCATTGGCTCGGAGTGCCTGCGGCCGGATAGGTATACAACACGAATGTCGTATTCCTGAAGGCGAAGCGCCCGATGACCAAGGCGTCTCACCGGATCTTAGGGTGGTGACAGTCAACATAGAGCGTGGTGGTCCGTGACGACTTCGAAATAACGCCATAAGGGTATAGGTGGAACTTCTCCATTGCCCATATAATTGCGAGGCACTCTTTCTCAGTGACGGAATAATTACACTCGGCTTTTTTGAGGGTTCAACTCGAGTAAGCGACCACGCATTCCTGGTATCCTGGTTTTAGTTGAGCCAATACAGCACCAAGACCGACACCCTCTGGCGTCGGTGTGAATCTTCGTGACGAATGGAAATAGCTCAGATGGTAGAGTATCAAACGCATTATTCCAAGTTGTGGATCTCCGTAGGCACATCAGGGTCAAAATGACGTAGTATGGTAGGCAATAATAATAACCGCTGAAGCATGGTAAAGGATTTGTCGCACACTTTTGACTGAGCAGAAATGCCTTTGGAAGTTTTCAGCAGGTTCGTAAAAGCCGTGATGATGGAAGGGAAGCCGTGCACAAATCGGCGAAAGTAAGAGTACAGCCCGATAAAACTTCGAAGCGTTTTCATGGAATTGGGCTTCGGATAGTCGGCCAAGGCATGGAGTTTCACAGGACCCGGAAGAACGCCCTCTCCTAACGTTCCTCGGCCTTCCAGTTCGTCTGTACGTGAATAATCACGTGACATTTCGTGGAGGTGCTGAGTATGGCTTACAGCCACCTCCAACCTTCAGACGTGTAGTTCCGCTGATACAGGAGGTCGTCTCGAATAGCGAAATGTGTTGCTTGCCTTGCTTGCTGCTTCGTCGTCATCCCGCATTGTTCCCTACTGTATGTTTAATCATCTATCTCTCTCTGGGCTAGGCTAAATTACAATTACTTTGAGATATACTTTCTTCTACCTATTCCTCAGGTTACATTTTGTCAGCAGGAGGAGAGGAGCCTTAACTGGGCAAGTTTGTGTGGCATACTGGAAAATAAAATATTGCGCAAGAAAAAAGTACGAGTACTGAAGGAACACTTATAACAGAGCAGCGCCAATTATCAACTGAAGTTTATTTTGAGGAAACACGAATACTTATATCTTTAGAAAAATTTTTCGTGTTTTACCTTCTGCTTTATTTCGCCATCCTCTCGGTTTGTATAGTTTCAAATGAATTCCATCTGTCACGTTCTATACTCTCGGGGAGTTATTTTGTACACGCATTCCCGCAAATGTAGATAAGCTGAGCGCTTCTAGCATGCGTTCTTCTTTCCGTCCACTTTTGTGCGTGATTTTGCATGTCGAGAGGGGGAAATATCAAATCACTTCAATTCCAGTTTAGACTGTGACATAACAAATAACTGGAAATGTACAACCGTTTTTTTTTTTGTCTTCAGATATCCGTAAACAACGTGTTCATACGGGTGCGCACAGGGAGATCAAAGGGGGTGAGAAAGACGTGAGTGTACTAGCTTTAATGACCTAATCGGAGGAGAAGTCTTGCCCAGTTAGTAGCACCTGCCCGCTCCGCGTGCGTTTTCACCAGCTGGACTCGATATCATTTTCTGTAAATAAAGTTCAAGGACCTTGGAGATGTGCTTCTAGGGCCTAGAAATAAACTAAAGCACTACTGTAGCACCTCAATGAAAACATATCTGAGAAAACATATATGCGAGCTGGATATGCTCTCCCAAGTGTTCTTGTCAATCTCTCCATTTTCCTCTTTTCTTCTGCCTCTCTTTTCGCCGACTTTACCTCTCCCTGTTCCCATCCGTAATAAATGATCCGCTGTTCAAATACCAGATTACTGTAACACAAACGCTTACTAATAACTACTCTTTAATTCACATCTGGCTATACACAATGTACAGAACACGGGTGTACAGCAATAGTGATAGGCACTGTATGCGTTTTTGCGCATGCGTATCAGGCTACCAGGGAAACCGTCGAAACTTTTGCATCCACAAAAAAAGGCCTTACTTGTGTTAACGTGCATTCCATAGCCCTGCATGGGAGAATTTTTTTTTTTGCGAATAGACTCATTGTTTGCCACAGATTGTTTTTCAGTTTTATTACTTTCCACATATTGTTGTAGGTTTTTGTTCACTTATATCATCTCTGATGACGTCATCGACCTGCGTCCACGTGGTATATAGGCTGGGCTTTGCCATATGCGCTTCTGTGCTTTGATATGTGGGATTTAACGTCCCAAAATCACCATATAAATATGAGAGACGCCACAGTCCAGGGCTCCAGAAATTTCGATCTCCTGGGGTTCTTTAACGTGCACTCAAATCTGAGCACACGGGCCTACAACATTTCCGCCTACATCGCAAATGCAGCCGCCGCTGCCGGCATTCGATCTCGCGACCTGCGAGTCAGCAGCCGAGTACCATAGCCACTAGACCACCGTGGCGGAGCTATGCACTTCTGTGCTCATAAACTTCTTGGGAGACAGCGCTGTGGTTCCTGCCCCCTTCCTGATCTCTGTCCTTGTTTTTGACTCGCTGAAAGCATCTGACGGGCTTAACTACATGCAACTCGCCAAAGTATCAGTCCCTCTGTAGTGGAAAACCTTGTGCTCACCTATGAAGTCTCTACATTATCATCGTAGCCGCAGCAACAACAAAAAAAGGGCTGATGACTCACTATTTGGTGTTTCCGCTGGACGTGTTTAGTGCACGCGGACGATCTGTTCCCTCCGTGGAAATTGGCAACCGGAGGCGTGCTGCCGCAACGAGCTCAAGCAACTAAAATGAGTTCGAGCACAAAGAGGCATCTGTTGTTTGCAGAGTTCTACACCATCAACCCAATAGGGTGAGTGCAATGTATTGTTTTTTTAGATATCTCTTGATAATGTCAAGGACCGCTGGGAAAAGTGCACCGTACGTTGCTTCAAACCAGCGTCAAGATGGTGATTCGAGGCTGCAGCATTTTCGCTGATAGCAGGGATGTTACGGTTATCCTTTCTGGTCTTGACGATCGCTTCGGGGTGAGAAGGAAATGGAAAAAATATAGGTGGCAAATCTGTTCTTTTGCCACTTTTGTTCGACGTCCACTCTACAATAACACATATGTTCAGAAGCTCGAAAAATCCAAGTATTGGTCTTTGTGGTGGCAGCACTATCCGGAAAATCAGGGCACAGTATATAAAATGTTTAGTATCCATAGATGGTGTGTTGTTTTGTGTCGTGTTTTTCGTTTTACCTTCATTATTACTGCTTTGTTGGTATCGCATCCAGCCTGAAGTTGGAAAATATAAGGTCTTGGTACGTTCCCCTGGTGATTGTACGAAATGCTGTCGTATAAAATCCATCGTAGGGCATATCTAGACATTATATACTGCACGATCCAGTCGATGTTTGCGATTATCATCCTCATCTTCATCACTGCTACGGCACGCACCAACGCCGCCAACGGACAAGCCTCGTCCCTTATGAGTTTCGCCCCTAAAATTTCTTGTGACCCAGGGATCAAAATGTGGACCACCGACTTTCTGTGAACCCACCCGCAAATTATGTTACAGTGCCTTTGTGTGTCTGCTCGTTCTACGCTATTCACAAGGGCATAGCCAGCAAATATTTTAATGAGCGGGGAGGGGACAAGCCAGACTATATGTTTGTTTGTGCGTGCTTCTTTGCGCGTATATATGCGCAAGCAACATTGAAAACTTCGAATTGGGGGGAGGGAGGGGGGAAAACCTGTCCCAGGCTTCGCCGCTGGCTACTCACTACGAAAATGGAGTACCAATGAGCCGAAACTGCAGTGAGTTGAACAAGGAA